TTATTTGTTTTCTGCTTTTGAATTTTTAAATATTTTATCTTTTCGGATAATAATACAATATATATAGAAATTATCTTTAGAAAAATATATATTTTTAGATTTTGGATAACTCTTATTGTTATTATTTAAAATAATTTATCTAATTAAATAAATTTAAATTCATTTTTATATTTATTTAATTCATATAATTTATTCATTAAGGGTATAAACGATATTGACCGCTCTAACTTTTAACGTGGGAGCTCCGTTGCGAAAAATCACTTCGCAAATAATAGTATAGATTAGAAATTCGAATATATATATATATATATATATATATATATATCCTTTGTAGATTATTTGTTTCTTCTTCTTGAAATCAGATTGGAACTTTAGTGGATCAAAGTTAAATTACACTAAAAACAGTCAAAATTGTAAGATTTGATTAGATTTTAGAGTATTTCTAAAAGATACTCAAAACTATAAATATGAAATTTTTATTTTCCAAAAGAGAATTTCAGAACTTCAAATTTGAAGATTTTAGTAGATAGATTTTTATATTTAAAATTTCACAACTAAAATTTCAAATTTAAAGTTTCATGTTAATATTATTTACATTTTGATCGTTACAGTTACGCATCACATTTATATATTTTAAATATTTTGTCGTTTATCATTTTAATACTTAAATTTTTTATATCTCATAAAATATTTCAAATCTTTTAATAAATTATGTTTTACATACAAACTTAAATAAAAACTTTGAAATAATATATTAAATATATTAAATCTGGATTTAGACAACAGACAACTAAAGAAAAGTTTTGAAAGTGAATACATAGTCATTACCCAAATTTAAATACTACAACAACACTAAACAACTTTTTGTAACCGGGATAGTTATCTTTGTTGTTGACATATTTTTCATCAATAAAGAATACAAGATTAGTGGCTAAAACAACATCTTAATGGCAGAAAAGGAGGATACCTAATTGCAACAATTTTTAGTTCAGAATTTACAAATTAACAATCATTTTTACTTTGAAATGCACTAGTTAATCATATATACAAACATTACAAAAGATTTTTATGAAATAATGTGTTATTTTGCTTGTAATTTAATATTTAATTATATGTAAAATATTATATTCTAATGTAACATTTTATTAATTAATATTGTTGTAAGATTTTTATATATGTGCTAGTTATTTATAAAAGTTTTATGGATTTAAATTAATAATGAAAAATATAAAAATCATAATATAAATTACAATACTTTTGAAGTTTTGATTTTGAAGATAAATACATTTAAACTTCAAATACATAACAAAGTATCTTTTTGAAAATGTTCTTTTGATCACACTTGCCACTAATGAAGTGGAAGATAGCCAATAGCCAACCAGAAGAAATTGAAAACATGCCAAATAAAAAATAAAAAGAAGCAAAAAGAGTACAATGTTGTCAGGCCAGACCATGAAGATGCAATTCCTTGTGGCAAAACTGGAAAGGTGGTTGGTTGGGGAGCAAGTTATTATCTTTTTTTTTTTTGGTGTAAATGTTAAATTCATACCATGGCTTTTCTTTTACAACGTTTGTGGAATACCACTTATTACAACAGATAAATTTTGAAAAACAGAGCAAGCAGAGAGGAGAAACACAGAGACAAACCGTAGAACCATTAAGGGACTGGTGGGGGCAACCGGAAGTATACTTGCAGAGGAGAAGGCGCAGAGGCGGATCGTGCAGGAATGGAGATGAGACGATCCCGCATTAGCCGATCTACATGTGCAAAGACCCCGGCTTCCGTTGATGACGTTTGCTGGAAAATACGGAGGTTCCGTTCACGCCAAATGCAGTAGACAATACATTGCAACAAGAGCTTAATCACAGCTGGCAAGCACGGAGAAGAGGCCACTTGATGAGTTGATAACAGGTCAGAAACCGCCTGAAGCGAACCAGGAGCAGAAGCAATGGAACCACCACAAAAGTGAGACCATACCGCTGTCACAAAAGGACACTGAAAGAACAAGTGATGATGAGACTCTTGTCGATCAGAACAAAGAACACACTGCAACGGAACGGCCAGACCCCAAGAAGCTAGCCTGTCCTTAGTTGGTAACCGCGATAACATTGCCATCCACGTAATGAAGGAACATCTCGGTATCTCCTCCTTGAACCAGACCATAGAATACCACTGGACTGATGGAGCTGTCTCGCGAATTGAATGCCATGTTGCCTTAGTGGAAAACTTAGGAACAAAATGGCCCTCACCATTTCGCCAAAGGAATCTATCAGCTCCTCTACTTGGGGATGGAGGAGCCATAGTCGATAATACGATCTGCAACGTCTCTGCGACGTCTGATCTGGCAGGAGGAAGGACCCACTCGCCACTTATAGAGGCATCAGCGACAACAGCTTCAATGGAGATTCGAAGTTCTGACGGACCTCTATGACCAAAGGCTTCCACCAAAGGCCCTATATCCGTCCAAAAATCAAACCAAAAACTGCAAGTTCGGCCATCACCAACACTGCATCTAAGAAATTCTGCCACAGTGTCCTTAAACCTGATCATGCTCCTCACGGTTGGGGAAACCCGCTGAGAGTCCGCAACTGACCAGTAGCAGTGTCTAGCAAATACATTAGCGTGCAACCAAGCAACCCACAAAGACCATTGGTCAGAAAATAAATTCCAGACCCTCTTGAGGGTGAAAACCTGTTCAAATTCTTCTAGTCTTCTCAAGCCTAGTCCACCCTCATTCTTAGGTTTGCAGATATCAGCCCAGCTTACCCTCGCTCCAGAGGCAGATGAGGTCCTGTTTTTCCAGAGAAAACCACAGCACAAAGAGTCTACTTTCGCATAAAAAATTTTAGGCAAAGCAAACACGGAACTCCAGAAATTCACCATTCCATATATCACTGAAGCAACAACCCTTATCTTACCAGCAAAAGACAAGCTTTTAACGGTCCAGGAATGCAATTTAGACGTGATTTTTTCCAAAAAAGGTTGTAAGGTAGCAAGACTTATCCTACTTGGGTTGAGCGGCAATCCCAAGTACCTTGTTGGAAAGGTTCCGAGCTTCACGCCTGTAATGTCACTCAATACCGCGCTTTCAATATCCGAGTATCCGCCGAAGAAGATCTCTGACTTTGCTGCATTCATGTCAAGTCCTGTCAGGACTTTGAAAGCTGTGAGGACCTTCGTAATACCTGTTAGAGAGTGGCGTGAGTCATCTGAAAATATGAGTAGATCATCTGCAAATAGAAGATGGGTTATCCTTGGTTCGTGGCACATAGGATGCAGGCGAATCTGACCTTCATCAACCGCTTCCTCCAACAACCGAGATAACGCTTCCATGGACATGATGAAGAGGTACGGGGAGATAGAATCCCCTTGGCGGAGACCTTTCTTCCCTGAAAAGAATCCAGCTAATTCACCGTTTATTATCTTTTCATCTATGATCGCCCGTAGTCTCTTTGTAAATTGTTATATAGGTCGCGTTCCTTTTTGTATCGAGTCGCTCCATTTGGATGTTAATATTCAGATGTTGTCCGTTTGCAAATCAGCATTTAGATGCAACATCTATATAGATCATCTATAATATTTATAATATAGATATTTGAAATACTAAATACTAAGATAAGATTAAAGCTTTGCGCGGAATAAATTTTTATAAAGTTATTTAAAAATAAATCTACATTGTTGATTGAATTAATATTTTAGTCTGTAAACTATTTTTTTAATTTCTTTATGAATTACATAATTTTTTTATTCATGAGCTGATCTCATTTTAAAAATATTTTAGGTCAAAATATCACTTAGCGCAAAGAACCTAACGTTTATGTCAAAATATTATATTGCTACAGAATATAATTGTTAGATATAGTTTATATAAGGTGCTTTAGAATCGTTCTAAATTGAATTAGAAGGCATAGAGAGTTGCCACGATGAGATTGTTTTTAATTAATAGAAACTTAAGGTTATATTTTTAATATTTCTCAATTAATATATATGGGATGTAGTTTGGATGATACATTTGTATTTCAAAATCTAAAACACCTAAATACTCTTAATATAAATATAAAATTAATTAAATTAGTTATTATGTAATATTTTTAATCGTTAAACTGTGTTTCTTGCCAAAACGAAAATTGTGTTTTTCCACCGAAAAATTGTATTTTCCCATTTAAACCAGAAATCACGTTTTTCGTCAAAACAAGAAAAAAATTTTTTTGCCAAAAATATTTTTTTCTCGCCAAGACTAAAAAATCATGTTCTCCACCAAAATGGTAAAATATGATTTTACCGGCAAAATTGAAAATTGTGTTTACCGCTAAAACATGAAAATATGTTTTTCCACTAAAACTAGAAAAATTATGTTTTCTTGTCAAAATTAAAATTCGTGCTTTCTTGATAAAACTGAAAATTCAGTTTTTTTTTTCTAGCTAAAACCAAAAAATCATGTTTTCCATCAAAATCGAAAATCATGTTTCTCTACCAAAATTAGAACATCGTGTTTTCCTGTTAAAACCGAAAAATCACGTTTTTCAGTCAAAACAGAAAAATAATGTTTTCCGTCAAAACTGAAAAATTATTTTTTCTGCCAAAACTAGAAAATCACTTTTCTCAGTCAAAACTGAAAATCATGTTTTTCCGTGGAAATTAAAAAATCATTTCTCCGTCAAAATTGAATATCACGTTTTTCAGCTAAAAGCGAACAGTCTATGATTAATCGTTTCCTCTTATATGCAGTTTCTTAAATTAAAAATCTAAAATACCAAACTTGTCAGGGCTGATCGATTAGTACTCACATTAAACACTTGAGAAATTACTTCCTTCACACGTCACAACATTATGTTTTTTTTTAGCAATCTCTAAATGTTCTATGAAATGAAAGATGTGAACTAAACATAAAACATAAACACTAACTTCATAGCCGCTATTTAATTCCATAAGAATGGTTTTACAAGCTAGAAATTGGTGACTAAAATACATAACAAAACAGTAAATATCAATTAAGTACCTAAACTTGGTTAACATCCTTCTGTTGTTCATTTGAGTTCTGGTTCAACTTCATCTGTTCCAAAGCTCGGATCAAACCCTTGAGTGTTCCATCAACATCAGATTCACCATCTTTCACCATCAAATTCTCCGCAACATCCGCCGGTGTCATATTCATTTCTTCCAGCAAACACTCAATCTTACCAAACAAGATATGTGAATCAAGATTCAGATAGTTCTTGGCAAGAATCTTGAACGCTTCAAATCTGCAATAAGACAACTCTATATGCATATCCATCCGACCTCTTCTGATCAAAGCTTGGTCAAGTTTCCCCAAATGGTTCGTTGTAAACACAAGTATCCTCTCTTGTCCACAAGCCGACCAAAGCCCATCTATAAAATTCAATAAGCCTGAGAGTGTAACTGCATTCTTCTTCTTCTCTTTCTTTTTCTCTGCACTGCTCTCATCTTTAACTCCCCTCTCTCCCGTGAGGTCCAAGGAACAGTCTATATCCTCAATCACAATGATTGACTTACTACTCGTACCTAGCAACAGCCTCTTGAGTTCCCAGTTGTTCCCTATCGACGTTAGCTCGAGATCAAAGATACTATAACTCATTAGATTCGCCATAGCTGCGATCATAGTGGACTTACCTGTCCCCGGAGGACCATGCAGCAAGTAACCCCTCTTCCAAGCTTTCCCAATCTTCTTATAATACTCTTCACCGTCTCTAAACGCCAAAAGGTCATTTATAATCTCTTCTTTCTTCTTAGGATCCATAGCCATTGTTTCAAAAGTTGCTGGATGCTCAAAATCAATGTTACTCCATAGATTTATCGTAAGCATCTCCCAGTTAGCGCTTGGATTGTTCATATGAAGCTTAATCCTCTTCTTCCTTTCTTCAATGGACTTACCTTCTTCCACAACGTATTTCAAATAGGAACCAGTCACAATCTCCCAGTTACTTCTATGGAAAGTAAGCTTACACACGTTTACATCACTCCCGAGTTTTAGAACCTCCCACCATATCTTCACACCTTCGTACTCATCCTCAACTTTATCATCGTCACGTTTGACATCCAAAGACTTTCTCCCCTTCATCTGGCTAGCCTTGAGATTCTTCACTTGAGAGTTAACTTGTGCGCCAAGGTAGGTCTTGATGGCAGAGTAAGCATAGTTGTATCTATACTCCTCGATTTCGCTGAACCTTATCTGAGCGTAAGGTGAAAAGAACGCAAGAGTCTTCTCAGAACATTTCTTGAAAAAGGGTAAACGTTGGAATATGCTGACGAGGATTTCTTGGATCGTGATCGTGAGCTGTCTAGGGAAGTATCTTCTTAGGGTTTCTATGAGGAAGAGTAGACCACCAATGTTTGTTCCAATTGTTGCTAAGTTGTCACCAAACATTGGCTTCACGATCGATCCCATAAAGATTTCGATTAGGTTTCTTTTGCTTTTCTTTTTCTCAAGAAGAAGGTTCTGAACTTTGGTTTCACTCATGATTGCGTTGTGTTTGTGTGTGTGTCTCTCTCTTTCTGCCTTGTGTATTTTTTCAGGTTTTTAAAATGATGGACCTATAAGTTTTTTATTGCTCTCGCTCTTTTATAATTGTGAGCCTATTATTTGTGATATTGTTGTAATTCTTATCAGAAACATTCCATATTTTCTCCTACCAAAAACGGAATGTAATTTTATTAAGAAGCTTATAAATTATCTTTTATGGTAAAATATATATTTATTTCTTTAAAAAGGAAAGAAATCTTTTCTATTTGTAGAGGTTTTTTCAAGTCTTCTCCACATGTTGTATTCATGTTCTCCAATCTTGGGTACGAAATTGACTGAAATAATTCAAAGATATTTTTTTTTTGTGTAACTATAATTCAAAGATATTTTTAATATGAATTTGAGCTTTTCTTTTGAAGATCAAACTTAACGTCATGCTTATCGGGACCAATCTGATATTGACCAATCTCTGGCTAAAGGTATTAAAGTAGCATTGTAAATTGTACTAGAAATTCAATTACTGCTTCTTCTTTTTTTATCACACTAACATTACAAGAAAAAACAGCCAAATCTGTAAGATTAGTTTATTTCCTATGAACACCCTTGTACTTAATAAGCTTCCGAAGTCCTTTTAAAAAATGGAGTGGGAGATAACCAACCAAAGGAAATTGTGAACATGCTAAAACTAAAAAATGAAAAACAAAAAGATATTAAAAAAAAAAACAAAGAGTACTTTGTTGTCAGGCTCAGACTGAAGATACAGTTTTTGTGTCAGGACTGAGAAGACGGTTGCTTGTGGATCAAGTTATTATCTTTTCATCTCTGTAGATTCGGCCCGTAGAGAATCTCTTTGTCATATAATCAAACGGACCAACACTTACCTGAACAAATGTATATGTTTCCATAGAAAATAACAAAAAAAACTAGTTTAACTAGTGGATATTACACAAACCAGAACGATTATTAGCTTCTGAAAGATTCTTGGTTTTAACCATCAAGGAGTAAATGATTATATTGCATAGAATACAACTTTGAGGTAGTTGCTAATTAATCTTTATGTGCGTAAAACTAAATGAATTCTCACAAGTCACTTCAAAAACTCTTATATCACCACCACGTTACATTTTTTATTCTTCCACAAGTTGTGAGGACCCGAAACTAGTTTGGTCCCCCACAGCCTAGCTTCGAGCTCAATGCATATTCATGACTTAAGCAAATAAACCAAAATCTTTGAATACTTTCGGGTCATATAACGCATATTTGATAATATAAATGGTGCATAATTAAAGTTTTATTGTGGTCCTTGTGTTGTAGTATATGATAAATGCAGTTTTAATAGAATAAACAGTGCAGATAATAGTTGACTGATAAAAAAACATTTTGCAGTTTTGTTAGATAAATATTAACTATAATATGATATACTAATTTTTGATTTTCAACTTTTTATTTTTAATTTAAAACTAAAATTTGAGTATTGAATTGAGAATTCGGCAAAAAAAAACACGAACTTTACACGAATTGCCAAAAGAAACCTGAACTTTTGGCATGACCAAAAAAAACATAAACTTTTCATTGACTTTCGAATTAATTAACAATGTTTTCGTTGACTTGCCAATTTGGCACGCCGTCAACAAATTTAACAGAAAAAATTAACGTTGTTTATTGTTGCCGTTAGGATGAAACGACGTCGTTTTAAGCGATTTGAAAATAAAAAGCCGTAGACCACTGGACTCAAACCCGGGTTAGTTAGATTAAATTGCAAGGTAGTTTACCACTGGGCTAGTGGCGCATTCAATGTACAAACTAACACATTAACTTATATTTGGTACTTATTGAATATAAAAAAAATTCTATAAAAACTTTAAAAAATCTTTAAAATTTCAAAAAATGAAAAAAATAAAGAGTTTTTTTAATAAAATTAATTTTGAAATTAAAATTAAAATAAATTTTTTTTCTATAAAAAAATCAGACGGGAACTCTTAAAATTTTATTTTTCTTTCAATGTATCTACTAACACATTTACTTATATTTGGTACTGATTGAATATAAAAAAAATTCTATAAAACTTTAAAAAATCTTTAAAATTTCAAAAAAATGAAAAAATAAAGAGTTTTTTATAAAATTAATTTTGAAATTAAAATTAAACTTAAAATAATTTTTATTTTCTTTAAAAAATCAAAAAATCTTCCAAAATTTTAGTTTAAAGAAAAAAAAATTTATTTTAATTTTAAAATTAATTTTATAAAAAACATCTTTATTTTTAATTTTTTTTTTGAAATTTTAAAGATTTTTTAAAGTTTTTATAGATTTTTTTATATTCAATTAGTACCAAATATAAGTAAATGTGTTAATAGATACATTAAAAGAAAAATAAACTTTTATAAGTTCCCGTCTGAATTTTTAAAGAAAAATAAAATTTTATTTTAATTTTAATTTCAAAATTAATTTTATAAAAAAATTCTTTATTTTTCATTTGTTTTGAAATTTTAAAGATTTTTAAAGTTTTTATAGATTTTTTTTAATATTCAGTCAGTACCAAATATAAATAAATGTGTTAGTAGATACATTGAATGTGGCACTAGCCTAGTGGTAAACTACCTTGCCACTTAATCCAATCAATCCGGGTTCGAATCCAGTAGTCTACGTTTTTTTATTTTCAAATAGCTTAAAACGACGTCGTTTCATCCTAACGGCAACAATTAACGTCCGAGTTAACACCGTCTTAACGGTTCGTTAACGGTGTGTTAAAATGGCGAGTCAATTGTAAGTTCGTGCAAAGTTGGTGTTTTTTTTGGCCGAATTCTCGTATTGAATTAGATCAGCAGTGTTGACGAATTTGGCCAGAACTTTAACCAATTTCTCTGGCTTAACTCAAATATACTTTCTTGACATAAACTTTTATGGAACAGAAGAATAAGTCATGGCTCGCCAGACCAGTTGTGCACCTCCAAATTTTAAGTTGGCCTCCCAAAATTTGTTAACAGTCGTACAAATTAGCGAGGTTAGCTGGTTGTGATTTTGTCATGTTCCAATTGTACGTATAAAATTTCATTTAGTTTTTTCTATGTCGAAGTGCACATTGCTACTAATTTTTCTATACACTATAACACTATTCAATAAGATTTATTGCATTAATTTAGAATGCATAGAAACTACATAATTTTACTAAAAATAGTTAAATTAGATCAGCATAACATTAATATGTATCTTATATATTAAAACAGAAATCATGACTTCACTTATGTATGATTTTTTTAAAAAAATTTGGACCATCACTTAGAAATTTTATTAAATGTATTTTATTAAGACTAATAAAATAGAAATATTTAAAATACTTTAATCATAATATATTTGATATTTTTCATTTAAATATAAATATATTTATTTAAAAATTCTAACAAATCTTTTTAAAAGATTTTTAAAAGATCTTCATTTTTGATATTATCTTTAAATATTTTCATTAATTTCGAAAATAGATTAAAATATTATTATACATTACTATATTTGGTTAAAGTTTATAAAATGAAAAATAAAAAAATATATTATATTATCTATTAAATAATCATAATCAATCATATTAAAAAAAATTATCATATTAAGCTAAATATAATAAAATTGTATTAAATCGATAAATTTATATATTTTATTTAGTAAGTATAAAATATTTATGTTCAAAAATAAAATCTAATATGTTGCTAAGACAGTTTAATGTTAGCAAACTATATAATATATGTATATACATTAACATGTATTTCAGTAAAGCTAATAATATAAAATCTTTGTAACTAATCATGATATTTTTTCATTTTAAATATAAATATAAATATATATATATATATATATATATATATTTAATAAAAACTCGATTAAATTTGTGTAAAATATTTTTACAATAAGTTAATATATTTTAAGTTATCGTTTATAGAATAAAAAATTTAAATTATATCATATTTTATTTACTTTATAGTCATAATTATTATGTTAAAATAAAATTATTATATTAAAATAAATATGATAAACATATATTACATTGATAAATTTATAAATTTGATTTTCATAAATATAAACTATTTATTTTAAAAATATAATATGATGACATAATGACTTAAAATTAGCAAACTATATAATACATGTCTAAAAAGTAACATATCTTAAGTTTTTGTATATACAAAAATATATTATATAAAATAAATAAACATAAAAATATTGATAAAAGAAAATATAATTTCGAAAAACGGATTAGAAGTTATCATAAATTAAATATAAAATAATTTTCAGTAGAGTAATTGGTTGCGGATTTCCAAGAAAAAGAACGCTTTGAAAACCGCATTAATACATCACTATCCACGGCCTCAGTCCAATTCGTACTCAAGACCATGAAAATTATATGAAGAAAAGTAGTATTACAAATAATAAATAGAGATTGAGTAGTTAAGGAGTTTAGACGAAAAGTCTCAAGAGAAACGAAAAAGAAAAAAGAAAGCAAAGAGTTTCCTAAAACACACAAAGATGCGCGAGACCGGAGGAGGAGTTTGGGGGTTCACAGGCTCCACAATGACAAGCCTCATGTTCTTCTGGGCGATGTACAATCAGTTTTTCCCTTACCATCTCCGAGTCCTGATCGAGACATACGTTTACAAGTTGATGGGCTTGGTTTCTAACTCTGTTCACATCAAGTTCAACGAGCACTCAGGTCTCAAGAAGAGTGAAGCTTACAACTCCATACGCAGTTACTTGTCCTCCAAGTCAACGGCTCTTGCAGTGAGACTCAAGGCTAACGAGAAGGGAGGAGGAAAATCTCTGGTGCTTAGTTTGGACGATCACGAAGCTGTTGAAGATGTGTTTAACGGTGTGAAGGTCCAATGGTCTTCGAATGTGAGCAAGCGTGAGGAGCACGCTAACGCAAGCGGTTCCGAGGAGAGGAGGTATTTCACTCTTAGTTTTCATAGGAGAAACAGAGAGATGATCATTGAGAGGTATCTTGGCCATGTTTTGAGAGAAGGGAGAAAGATTGAGTTCAAGAACAGAGAGAGGAAGCTTTACACTAACAACACGAGTCTTTATGCGAGGGAAGGCAAATGGTGTAGTGTTCCTTTTCATCATCCAGCTACGTTTGAGACTTTAGCTATGGAGCTTGAGAAGAAGGAGAGGGTTAAAAAGGATTTGATAAAGTTTAGTAAAGGGAAAGATTATTACAGGAAAGTTGGGAAGCCTTGGAAGAGGGGTTATCTCTTGTTTGGTCCTCCTGGGACTGGTAAGTCTACAATGATCTCTGCTATGGCTAACTTCTTGGAGTATGATGTGTATGATCTTGAGTTAACTACAGTGAAGGATAACTCTGACTTGAAGAAGCTCTTGCTTGATACAAAAGGTAGGTCTATTATTGTGATTGAAGATATAGACTGCTCTCTTGGTGTAACGGGGCAGAAGAGGAAGACGAAGGAGGAGGAGGAGGAAGAAGATGAAGAGGGGAAGAAGGAGAAGGAGAAGACGTTTTATGAAGAAAGTGAACGGAGCAAGGTTACTTTGTCAGGGATGCTAAACGCTATTGATGGGTTATGGTCATCTTGTAGTGATGAGAAGATTATGGTGTTTACTACCAACTTTGTGGAGAATCTTGATCTGGCGTTGATAAGGAGAGGGAGAATGGATAACCATATTGAGATGTCTTATTGTAGGTTTGAAGCGTTTAAGGTTTTGGCTAAAAACTACTTGGAGATTGAGTGGCATGAGTTGTATGGAGAGATTGAGAGATTGGTGGAGGAGATTGATATGTCTCCTGCTGATGTTGCTGAGAATCTGATGCCTAAGTCTGATGAAGAAGATGCAGAGATTTGTCTTAAGCGTTTGGTTAAGTCTTTGGAAGAAGAGAAGGTGAATGTGAGGAAGTTAGCTGAGGAAGAGGAGAAGAAGAAAGCAGATCAAGAAGAGAAGTAGTTAGTTTGCTTCTACAACAAGAAAACTTAGAATGAAGGATTGTTTGCTTTTGCTGGATCGCTAATCATGTTTTAAATATCGAGTTAAATGAGTATCTTAAGACTAATCATGTGTTAATGCTTTCTTTAGTATCTGAATCACATTTTTAAGATTGTTCATATATTAATGATTTCTCTAGGTAACACATTGCTCCTGTCCTGTCTCAAGCATCTTACATTGCTCCTGTCCTGTCTCAAGCATCTTTATGTTGCTTGCGTTTCACGAGACTCTATTGTCTTAAGTTGTGCTCTCTTTTGGTCTCTTTTGGTCTTTGACCATTAAATCTCTATTATTACACTTGGGGTTGGTCACGTATCGGATATCCGAGTTTTTCAAGGTATTTGTGATTTGCTTCGAAAGTTATGGATATCTAATTTTGGGTATTTGCTTTGCTTCGGAAAAATACGAATATCTAGAAAAAATAGATATCCGGAAAATAAATAGATATTTGCGAATATTTACGGATATCTCATTCATTTTGATTAATACAAATAACTTTAAAATTTTGATATAAATTTGCTTTGCAAAAAATATTTTTTGCATGTTATATAGAATAAAAATTGAAAGAACTAGTGAATTTACCTATTTTGTAATTTTTTAAATTTAAGTTACAATTATAATAACACAAAACTTAGGGAAAAAAAGATAATTGTCATAAATGTTTTTCTGCTTTTTATGTAATACTTTATATAATAATAATGTGAATAGAATTGTTGAAAGGGAAATTCTCTAAAATAGCATTTTTTAAAAAAATTTATCACAAAAATAGACCTCAAAAATTAAAATGACCAAAATATCACTTTTTTATTTTGAAAATTTTAAGTTTTTTAAATTTTTTTAAATTCGAAACCCTATCCCCAAAATCCCACCCCTCAACTCTAAACCAAAAAATCTAGGATTAGTTAACCCAAAAGGTATAAATATATATTTAATAAAACATAAGTTTAGTCATTTTAATTGTTAAGGTCTATATTTGTGATAAAAAATTTCTTAGGTCTATTCTAGTCATTTTCTCTTGTTGAAAATCATGTTCTAGATTAATAATTATGTAATTTTATACAATTGAAATTTTAAATATAATCAAAATATACATATATTTATATATTTCCGGATCGGATCAGATATCCGCTCCCTAAAATTTAAATATTTGTGATTTGCTTCGATTTAAATGGATATTGATTTTTACTATTTGCTTTGATTCGAAAGTTTACGGATATCCGGAATTTTCGGATCGAACTGAAACGAATAACGAATCAAATTAAATTTAACGGATAAAATGTCCAACCTTAATTACACTCGTGTTTACAACATCTAGGATCTCTGAAAGAACACTGCATTTAATTTTATTTTGATGATAAAAATGTTCATATATTATAATGAAATTTCTTGCAATATTGAGGGAGACTAGAAATTTAGGCTCTTTTTTTCAACATATTTGTGTTCACATGTAGTTTTCATTTTCATTGGTCACATCATGAAGGTAGAGCTTGACGTTAGGTGTGGGGACCAATCTGATTTCTGAGTAATGAGTGTTAGCCAGTTATGAACCAAGCAATAAAGTGGTGATGTAAAAATTTGGTTGCTATATTGCTATTGACAAAAAGCTTTGGTACTGAGCAATCATACAATTTCTTATATAGAAAAATATTTTTCATAGATATTTTAATATCAACCATCAAGGTATTAACTGCAAATTCCCTCAAGTTGAGCTCTATGCATTGATTCTTGTCCTTTTTCTTCTTTTTGGTGGTAAAATCAAGTGTCATCAAAGTATGATCTGTTTTCACAACTCACACTATGCAGCAAGGGGTTTGGTTTCCTTTATTATGTCATCCATGATCTTTTTATGTCTTAAGTGGTTAGGTTTTGAACTGAAATGACCACCTCCTTTGTACATTACAAACAACCAAAATACATTATTCAACATTTATTTTCCTCATATCTTCTTAATTGGTACCATTACTGTCATGAAGGTCCCCATTTACTTCTGATCCCTGAACTTTCTTGTCTTCTTCCTCTGTCTTCTTCTTCTTGTCTTCTTCCTCTTTCTTCTTCTTCTCCTCTTTCTTCTTCCTCCTTCTCTCTTCCCTCTCTGCTTTACTCTTCTCTTCTTCCTCAGCCAACTTCTTTGCCTTCTCCTTCTCCTCCTCCACAGTCTTCACCAAACGCTTGATACAAACATCTGCATCTTCCTCATCAGACTTCGGCATCAAAGTCTCCGCAACATCAGCAGGTGACACATCAGTTTCCTCAAGCAACCTCTTGATCTCTCCATACAACTCATGTGACTCAATCTCCAAATAGTTCTTAGCCAAAACCTTAAACGCTTCAAACCTACAATAAGACATCTCAATATGGTTATCCATCCTCCCTCTCCTTATCAACGCAGGATCAAGCTTGTCCACAAAGTTAGTTGTGAATATAATAATCTTCTCGTCACTACAAGCTGACCATAACCCATCAATAGAGTTTAATAGCCCTGAGAGAGTAACTTTACTCTGTTTCTCAGCTTCCATCTTGGCCTTCTTCTCATCATCCTTCTTCTTCTTCTCTTCATCATCATCATCTTCATCATCTTCCTCCTTCTTACTCTTTCTCTGCCCAGTGAGATCAAGTGAGCAATCAATATCTTCAATCACAACAATAGACTTGCCTTTAGTATCAAGCAAGAGCTTCTTTAACTCTGAGTTATCCTTCACAGTAGTTAACTCAAGATCATAAACATCATACTTCAAGAAGTTAGCTATTGCAGATATCATCGTTGACTTCCCTGTCCCGGGAGGACCAAACAAGAGATAGCCTCTCTTCCAAGGCTTCCCAACTTTCTTGTAATAATCTTTCCCTTTACTAAACTTCACCAGATCCTTCTTGATCCTCTCTTTCTTCTCAGGATCCATAGCTAAAGTCTCGAACGTCGCCGGATGATGAAAAGGAACATTGCTCCACTTCCCTGACCTCCAAGGATACCACTCTGAGCTTGAGTTGTTAGTGTAAAGCTTCCTCTCTCTGTTCCTCAACCCAATATCTTTCCCTTCTCTCAAAACATGCTCAAGATATGTCTCAATGATCATCTCTCTATGTCTTTTATGGAAAGTCAGAGTAAAGTACCTTCTCTCCCCCGAGTTGCCTCGTCCAGAGCTAGAGTTTGTCTGAATCTCTTTAACGTTCGAGTGCCACTTCACCTTCACACCATCAAACACATCTTCAACTTCCTCGTGGTCGTCCATGCTAAGCACCAGGGCCTTGCTGTTCTTGGATTCGTCTGCCTTTAACCTCAAGGCACGAGCTGCGGAGTTTGTGGAGAGGTAGTTGCGTATGGCGTCGTAGTTCTCGCTTCTTTTGAGACCTTCTTCTGTGTACTCGGTGAACTTGATGTGGACGTAGAGAGAGACCCATCCGAGGAGCTTGTATACGTATTTCTCTATGTAGCTTCTGAGGTGGCGTGGGACGTATTGTGAGTAGATCGCCCATAGGAACATGAAGCTTGTCACCGTCGTGCCGGTTAGTCCCCATATTGCTGCGGTATCAATCATGTTTTTAGGTTTTCTTGTGGCTCAAGACTAGGTGCTTGTGTCGCAAGAGAGAGATTTGTGTGTGTTTCGTTGCTCTGTTGTTGCCTCTATTTATAATACTATGGAGGAAGATGCCACGAAATATCTGATTAATTTTACAAAAACTTCTGATCATGCTTGTGTAAAAGTACTATCTATACTATACTAAGCAAATTTATTTTTTAAATAATAGTATAGATATAAATATTAAAAATATGATAAATAAACAAAATTACATAAATTTATACAGAACATGACAACTAAGAAAATTTATTTCTTAAATAATAATATAGATAGAAATTATATATAAATATTAAAAATATGATAAATAAACAAAATTATATAAATTTATGAAGAACATGACAACTAAGCAAATTTACTTCTTAAATAATTGTATAGATTTCTATAATTTTTATTATATATTTTAAAAAAAATTATATTAGTAGTATCAGATTTTAGAAAATAAGATATTTCCTATGTATTAAGTTGTTGTCTTGAAAATATACTTTTCTATTAGAAATTTAAAATTAAGAAATAAAAATTCTAGTTAATCTAAAACTGAAATAAATTTACACTAAAAATAGTATACTTTTGATAAAATAAGGTAATTCTTATGTATTATGTTGTTATCTTGAAAATATACTTTTTTTTTTTTGTCAACTCTTGAAAATATACTTTTATATTATATAATTTAAAAGTAAAATATAAATTATCTATTTTTAATTAAATATAAATCATCACTCAAGAAAAAATATTTAAGAAGTGAATTTGCTGATTCATTAAGTTCTCCATAATTTTAGATAATTTTAATTATATGTCATAATTTCTATAATCTTATACAATTATTATATTAAAACAAAAAATATCATATTATATCTTTAGAAAATAAATAACTTGTGCATTATATTGTTATCTTGAAAATATGTTTTCTAAATTTAAAATTAATATATATAAAATTATAATCAAATATAAATTAAAATATATTTTTATAAATATTATAATTAAATATAAATCAAGCAAAATAATAATAGAAATGTATTCTTTTAGTATTTCCGATGTTTAAATTTTGTCATTGATAATTATTTGATGTTTCATTTGTACTTTTTGAAACCATAAATATTAATTTATTATGTTAGTGTTTAAATTAATGAAACATCAGTTAATAAATATTTATAAGATAATTTTGCCTATTATTCCATAGTTTCCTAATTAGTTTTAATATACTTTTAGGGGTTATTACATTTAATAAATAACGCCATTAGGCCTTGTCGTTTACGATCTTTAAAGATTTTAGGTGAAAATGGCGTCTGTTGGCTTGCTTCTGGCATCATGCGAGGAGCCACTTATATATTTGGTAGGATTTAATATAATTTCGATAAAGTATGAGCCACATATTAACGAAATCATTATTCTTTTTTATTTTGTTATATTCTAATATTAGTCACTGTGGTAAAATAGTACACCTTCGACTACACGTCTAACTTTCCTTTTTCTTCTGTCCGTTTATAAAAGAGGTAAACCCCACAACGTACGATCTACGTTTCTTTATCTTTTCCGTCATATTGGAATTTAATTTCCCACATAGAAGTAGCTTTTACAAATATTAATATATGACATAGTGGCATGTTTTACACAATGACAGATTTGTATTTATTTACATTAAGTGGTAATTTGGATCTAAACATATCAGGTTATCTTCGACTATAATCGAAGTAGAGATCTCTATGAAATTACCTTTACATCTTATAAGTTAATCAATCACCACAACACCACATGCAGATTATATACTTGCGAAACTATGATAAGAAAAAACACAATTACAGATTTAATTAGTGACACTTTGTTATGTTTGGTCTCTACTGACATCTTATCTTCCTTTTATTGTTTGCTACTATTGTATCACCCTGCATTTTTTATTTCAACCAGTGTTATAAAAAAAAAAATTAGTGACAAATGGTTTACGGCCTACTATCGCACAAACCCTTGTAAAAAAGGCAAATTGCAGTTAATTAAATATGGTAAATTCTTGTTTAGTGATGTCATTTAATTTGTTAGTATACGTGGGTTTGCTTAGATCAGCATGCTTACATGGACGTCGTCAACTGAATTAGAGCTACAATCAAAATGGGCTTTCGGGAATATTGGTGGGGTATGTAGAAAAAGGTGACTAAAACTATCTCCAATGGTAGAAAAATCCTGACCAAAAGGTTTAAAATCTTTTACATCCATGTGCGGAGTTTGAGTTGCAGACAATAGATCTTTTTGCAAATTATAAGATGTAAATATTTTCATCAGTTTCAGAGTACTGTAAACATAACCATTTATCGTGATTGTCTGTTATAGAGTAAATATTTTCATCAGTTTCAGAGTACTGTAAACATAACCTGTTTTTTTTTTTTTTTTGAAGCAAAGAAAACTGTAAACATAACCATCTATTGTGATTGTCTGTTACAGAGTGAATATCTCTACTGAGAATGCCGTAAATACATAATCATATGTCAATCCGAGTATTTTGAAGAGAATTTCATCATGGAATCATTATCCGTGAAATTGTTCATCAATATCACATATGCTACACGTAATCATCATATGTAAAAGAATTATAAATTATATAATAATGTAATTGGTGATTTTTGTAAGAAACACTATCCCCAATATATTTTGCTATTTTTCCTCTGAACTAAATGAATTATATAAAAAACGAGATTTGCTTAAAATATTTATCTAATATAGCAATTTACAAATATAGAGTAAAATATAAAGAAGTATGATTTCTTCCTTTATAAATACATGAAAAATATTAATCTATATTTTAAAGAAAGAAATAGAGATGAGATTTTGCAATATAACTAGTCCTTTGTTGTATTTTAAAATTTCTTACTCTATCCATTTCTAAAATAAGAGTTTTTAATATATATATATATATGCATATTAAAAATATAATAAATACAAAAAATTAAATTTATAATTAAAATTTATTACTCCCTCCGTTTCAAAATATATGTCATTCTAGACTTATTTTTTGTCACAAATTAAGTGTCGTTTTAAAGTTTCGAGGTAAAATTATTAGTTTTATATAATATTCTATTTTTCTGTTGGTTGAAAAGTGGTTAGGTGTATAGGTAATTGTGTTTTTATTTTGGAAATATGTAAAATAAAATCTTTCCTTAATCTGTGTGCAAAAACCTAGAATGACAAATAAAGTGAAACGAAGGGAGTATATGTTTTCTAATAAATATCATCATGTTATATTTGATTAATTCAACTATTTAATTATGTTTTGCAAAATATTTTAATTTTCTAAAAATATATAAAAATATTTTTAAAAACTTATATGTGCGAAACAAAAAAAAATCTAGAAAATGTTACTTTCAGAAAAGTATTTTACGAAAGCTTGACGAAATAAAAACCTAACCAAACTAAAATTTATTAAACCGAAATTTGAATGAGGATTCCAAATGCACTATCAAAGAAACTGGGCTTAGAAAGAGTCAAAAGTTTCACTAAAAACAAAGTGGAAAGCCCAGCTTAAAAGTGGCTAATAGGTATGTTAGAGCATCCGCAATGACGGATCCTTGGGGGAATCCTTAGGAAAAAAGAAAAAAAGGTATTTCGGATTATATAAGGATATTTCAAATTTTTTTTTTAAAAAAAAAAACTGACCATTCACGGACCGCCACATGGACAGTGGAGCCCGCGAATAGTGTAAGGATCAATCCTTACATAAGGATTTTAAGGATAAAATCCTTAACTGTTCATGGGACCCATTAATTATAAAATTAATATTTTCCTAAGGATTCCCTCTAAGGATCCGCCATTACGGATGGTCTTAGTCAGAATTTTTAATTCATAATTTGACCATTTTTTTAAGCTAAAAACGATTCTTTTATATTTTATTTAATAGATAGTTCTTAACTTTTCTTAGTTAATTTTTCAGAAAATCTAAAAACCTTTTTTTATCTTCAGCTAAGAAACTAGTTAAAAACTGGGGTTTATGATGGTCTTAGCCTATCATCATCATCGTCAACTACAAACGCATCCTTCTTCCCACAATACAAAGAGACAACTCGTCAAAACCTTTGAGCCCTTCTCCATTATAAACGTAAAGAGGGAAGAGAACAAGAGAGCTTTAAATGCTTTTGAGTTTCAGGAGGGAAGAAACTGGTTCATTTTAGTTTCTTACAATGGATAAAAACCCCTAAGATGGGTTTTATTCATAACATCTTAATAAGGTTTGTTTTGTTTCAAGGTGTAACATTCAAATCTCAAAGTTTGGCAGATTAAAGGATTCATATGCAAAGTGGTCTATTCAGGTATATGCAAATAATAATGTACTAAAAACGAAAAAACATCCTAAACACTCAACATGTCTGGTTTGCATGTCTATTACTCGATCTAAAACTCTTGGTAATAACAAAGACGACTCATATATAATTCGAGGCATCAAATCTGTTCACGACAGATTCAAAAATATTGAAATTATCCGAAGGTAGCAACAACGATCCATCCATAAAATCCCACATTAAAAACCAAAACAAAAAAAGCTATAAAAAATTTCAGATCTTTATAAAAGATAAAAATAATCAATCAAAGAGACTCATCATGCCTTCACCATCATCAGACTCCTCTTTCTCTTCCTCAACCTTCTTCGTTTCAGCCGCTGGCTCAGCCGCGGAAGCAGCTTCTCCTCCTCCTCCTCCAGCCACCATAGCAACAGCTCCACCACCGGAAGATAGAGCACCCATCTTCTCCCTCCCAGCAGCGATCAGCTCCGTCACGTCGTGATCCTTCACCAGAGAAAAGAACAGATCCGTCTTCGTCTGGTCGAATTCAGCACCAACGGAATCGAAGATGTTCTTCAGATCATCTTTGGTTGGGTTCTCGTTTCCGGCGAGTTTCGCGAGGAGGAAAGCAGCCACAACCTTCATCGTTTCTCTTTTTTTTTTCTCTGCAAGTTGGGACAAAACAAAAGCTAGTGACTGCTAGGGTTAAGTTGTGTATATATAAGAAATCTCTTCCCCCATAATGAGGATGGTTAGGGTTTTGCGTACGTACGTTACACGAAAAGAGCCGTCAGTGGGCTTAAATGGAGGCCCGTAAATATTGGAACTTGTATATAAGACGACTTACAAATCTTTTTTTTTTAACTGCAAAGTAATTTCACTCAGATTGCAAACTATGAAAATAAATTATTACATAGGCAACATATATTAAAATGATAGAAATAAGAGTAAATTTTATGATGATTTCTTAAATTTTTTTTGTTACTTATTTTTATTTTGTGAAACAATTCTCATATGACGTTACAGTAATTTTGTTACTAAATGATAAATACTCTCTCTATTTTTAAATTATTAATACATTATTTTTAATTAATTATTTTTCACAACTTTTAATCAATAAAAATTTAATAAATATATCAACTTTCGAAATTTACAATCTATTACCATAAGAGAATTGGATTCTGTAACGTCTGTCATATGAGAACTGTTTCATAAAATAAAATTAAAGGATCTAGTTTTTAAAAAGGGATTTTTTGGCTAAATATCAAGAAAAAAATTTAAATTTTGAGAGAGAAAACAAAAAGAGATAGGAAGAAAAAGTAGGAAAAAAGAAGAATTTTAGTTTTTTTTTTTTTTTTTATCGGTCGTCCATCTAAACTAGATCAAGTAGAGGTCAGACGAACCGGTTCACTGAGGAGCACATCTGTTTGATAGAATCTGATCTCTATGAGAAAATTATAGTTTCTGATCCTTGTTTTTCTTTTATAATGCGTCTATTCGACTATTCTTATTTTGAGGAATATGAGACATGCTCACATTCTCGAGATCTTCTTGTAATTTCTAGAACACTTCAATTTTTGTCGTGAAAATCGGCCACTTTTCCAGATTTGTAGCCATGTCTACTAAGTTTGAGCTATCCAACTCATAAAGTCATCCTGTCTTTCATAGTTATAGGGTGCATTTATGTTTTTTCTGTATATAAGGTGCAATTTTTCTTTTTAAAATATTGTTTTTTCCTAAGGATATATCCTAACTGAAACTAGAGAGTAGTTATTTATCAGTGTCATCAAATATACCCTCCAGATCTTAAAACAAATATTAATCCATCATGAATACTGATATTGACAGCTTATACCACTCGCAACAAGGGATTCTTAGGGGGAATCCTTAGGAAAATATTAATTTTATAACCAATGGGTCCCATGAACAGTTAAGGATTTTATTTTAAAAATAAAATCCTTATGTAAGGATTGATCCTTACACTATTCATAGCCTCCACTGTCCACGTGTCGGTCCACGATTGGTCAGTTTTTTTTATTTTTAAAAAATAATCCGAAATATCCTTATATAATCTGAAATGCCATTTTTTCTTTTTTTTTTCCTAAGGATTCCCCTAACGATCCCTTGTTGCGGATGCTCATAGAATTTTATTTTATTATTTGGTCAACTATTTTTAAAATTAAATGTTTGTCCGGTAAGAAAGAGTTAAAGAATCTTTTTTTTTTTTTTTTTTTTTTTGTCAGCCGCCCATCTAAAGCTAGATCAAGTGGTGAGCAGACGAGTCGATCCTCCTAGGAGCATCTCCGTCTGTCCTAGTCTGATCTATATGGGAAAAAGTAGATCCTTTTCTTCTCGCCTCTTTAGCTAATCCATCCGCTCGACCATTCCTACTTCGAGGAATATGAGAAAGCCTC